TGTTGACAGGTGAGTGAAACTATACTTAAAACTGATCGAATGCACCTAGCGAAAACTTCTATACCATACCACCACTGCCCCCAACCTGAATGAGAAGGCTGGGGCTCACAGGCCCCCTTCAGATTTTTAGCTAAGCTAAAAATATGATGAGTGGATTCGTTAGATCGCTAAATCAACTGAACCGCGCACCCATCCAAATCAACCCGAAAGCATGCGAAATGGGCCTGGGGGAGTGTAATCAAGTGTCACATTGTGATGCCCTCTAGTTGTTTAAGAAGTTCGAGAACTGTGAATATCACCACCAGCCATGCTTGACAAATTTTGATTAGGCAATCAAAAATATTACCCTAACTTAATGGCGGATAAGATTGGAAGAAAAGATGGTAATTCAGGTATGGATTCATTCCGAACGGGGGCCGAGTCTACTATCTGGGACGTTCCCAACCACCCATGTTCATACCGATCGTCTACGAGTACTTCGAACAAACCAAAGATGTGGAATTCTTAAAGTCAATTCTACCAGCTCTTCTTAAAGAGTTTCGATTCTGGAATGAAAACCGGTTGGTGACTATTAATATGACACACACACATACTCAAGAGTACCCAAGAGGAATAAAAAGACCACTCGGGAGACCTCCAATAAGATGGAAAGACGATATTACAAAGAAATTGGGTAACACCTGGCAAAGGAAAGCAAGATCAAGGAGCGAATGGAAACGCATTGTGGCCAGCAACGTTGCAAACGTTTGATAGCCTGGCCAATCCAGGTAATCCAGGTAATATGACACACACACACACACGATGACATAATTTCGGTTTATCTGATCCGACGGCTTTAGAGAGGGATTAATACACGGTTACTCAACCGAGGACATCTTAAAAATAAGATGAATATGAGAGACGGCATTCCAGGGGATGCGAAATAGTACGGTCTTAGTTTTTATACATCAGTGGCAATAGGCCGTCCCAGAATTAATTCCAGTCTCATCAGATTTCTAAAAAAATACATTTTTTTGCCAGGCTAGCAAACGTTAC